ACTGGCCGACCAGCCATTTGCTAAGCCTGATTTCTCTACCTTAGACACTTGGGAGGCACCTTATGTGTTGACAAGAAAAAGTCACATTGCTTAGGGAACACCCAACTCAAGAAGAATTCATAGTCAGGTTGCCCCCCGAAACAAACACCTTCACTTATTTAAATGGTATTATTTGATTAACAATGAGACGAGTGCACAGGACGGAGGATTCGATGCTCGTAACAGAGGATTAGCTCGTAGTTAGTTGATTGCCAGTTTACTATGACATCTAGTTTGCGTCAGCTCTTTTCGTATGAATAAAAAATGTGCTTATTAACATTACACTGTTGAATGAAGAGCACCGCTACTGCTTCCTGCACTGTATTAAGTAACTAAAATACACAGAATATCTCCGAAAAAAATACCATCGAAGGTTGGGAAAATTTATCGATATATGTGGTAATTAAAGATATGTGAAAATATCATTAAATCGGGATAAGCGCACAATGTTATCATAACATATGCATCAGTGTAAGGTCCAGTAAGTTTCTCAACTTTGTCATTTATATAGACAAATCTGAAAAACACAATAAGTACAGTCACTCTTAAGCTGAAAAGACGTACGTTGAATTGGGTTAGGAACGTGTTCTTCTGTCACGGTACCTTATAATAGGCAAATACCTTTGTGTGTCTAAGTGGAGCTCCCATATATCCTAAAATACGTCGAGGGGTAGATCGAGCTTACGGCATTGTCTACGCTGTATTCTCTTAGCTTATTCTTGGCCGGGCACAGTCTACACATATCGTTCATCGGCATGATACATGCTAGTCGAAGTAGTCTCCTAAACCTGAAAGTACGTGTTTAAAGAACCTGCGTCTTCATTCTATATGCCTACGGTAAGCGTTACGGTGTCAATTCTTACCTTAATATAGTTCCTTTGTTTTTTGCAACTGCAAGCACTTATCACATTCTACGCTTTTCACTGAGGTTAATTGATCTCAATGTCTATTCCTTCCGGCACGTTCATCCAACTAATTGTCTCACTTCGTTTCCGTTACAGAAGGATCCGGCAAACGGTATGATAAAAGGAAGTTACCTCTACCGGGTTTCCTATCTGCCCTAGACCCAAACTTATCTGACTAGCTGGTTGCCTTCAAGGATGGAAAATTTTTGTTATGTCGCGTTGCTTTATCCTGAGGTACATGGCTGGTTAGGCGGCGACGGCCTGTCCAAACAAAGTTACTACCCTCTGCACGAAATGGCTTCACCGCCGTCAGCTGAGTCCCACTGTAGGCGCTTCTTTTATACAAGTTTGATGCATGCCTGCGTCAAGACCCGTCGAGGTGAGACGATGTGTGCGTTAAATGGGGGTATTCATGTAAGGCGTGTTGTGACGAACATAATAACGTTCTTGCTCTTTATGCATGATGACGTCACTGCTATCATTTCGTCAAACCAGTAGCGTAGCTTCTGCCTCTTGCGTATCTCTCGGCTGCCACTTCCCCCCCCTGAGTACCAGAACAGCCTGAAACAGCACCAACGGAGGTCTTGGTAGCTGTTGTGATCGTGGTCGCAGTGAACAACCATTCTGACCAGTCGGTTAGCAGAAGCAGAGAAGCAGTGAACCAGCTAAATAGCTGGTCTTGGACAGTTTCGCCATGCGTATGGAAACGATGCCCTGACCGGTGAGCAAAAGTTTAGGTTACCGGCCCCTTACCAGTGGCCACTGATCATAATGCATGTAATATCCCTTCCTGCCTTTTGCCTCTTTTTCACGGGCTCATGCTACCTTCTGAGCTCGACCGTCTATCTCCCGTTGATGAGACGAGCAGAGAAGTCGGGAGCGCCCAGGGCGGTCGGGCAAGCCGTCTGTTGGTTCGTCGGTCACTGAATTCTGAGCTATCGCAGGTGAACCCTTCACGTCATCAGGGCAAGCTAGGGCAAAATTCCCAGGATGGCAAAATGGTAGAGAAAGCAGCGGAAACCGAATGGGATGGTGCTATGTCTGTGGGTCGTTGAGCTGGTAGCTACCACGACAACCATGTGAGACGCATTTTATGCATACCTAGAAGTCAACTTGGTTGAGGCTACGAAGTTGAGCTCTTGCTCATCGTAGATTCAAAGATCCTAAATCCAAATGGTAAAAAGGGTAACTGATTTAATCTGACCACTGGGAGTTGGATCTTTAAAGTTACAACCTTGAACTGTTACTGAGTTTCAGTAGAGTAGTAAACAATTATAGATAATATTTGTAGTATCTGTTTGATAGAAAATAGCTTTGAAAGTCGGTGATGCGATCACTTATTTCTAATAACCTCCACAATAGGGTATCATCAGCCTATGCTAGTCTGGTGGCCACAACAGCAGAATAATACTATGAATTGATAATGTCTTAATAAGGAATTTGCATAGTTTATTTCACAATGAATATCTGCATCTAATCTGTTAACTAAAAATCTTTTAAACCATTTCAAATTTCATTCGTACTTTGCTTGTATTTATATAGCCAATAAAGACGAGTATAACAACTCGTTGCACTGCTACCAGCCACTGATCATAGTGCATGTAACGACTCCTTTTTGTTTACTTTATTGCATACGTAACTACAACCTAAGCGCCCAAAAGTGGGCACAATAAAGTGATCAAATATTTTAGCCATTCAACCCAACCACGTAAACTGGAACCCAAGCCTAGAAACCGTGCAACTTACCAAAATCATTAAACATGCTTTCAGTGCGGTTGCTCGGCCATGTCACAACTGCGAGCATTTCATGGTGAGCTGCGAGGCTAGTCTATTGATCCCCTATTTTACAGTTTAATTACTGTCTATTCTCAGCCACAGGCGAGCAGCTAACGCACGTATAAGCAAGTTGCCTCTTTCGCACACGAGGTACGTGCGAACATCGGAGGGCAAAATGATCTTATATCACCATACGTGCGGAACGAGGAGAGCAAGACCCACCAGCACCCCTGGCTTCTAATAGTAGAAACTAGCCGATCCATTAGCGATAAATGTTCAAGGGGGTCAGTCTACAATGTTCCTCCATTGCATTTACATTACGCCTCTGGTATGCACAGAACATGACGAATAGTTGATCCTAGAATCATGGCCTTTTTCCGATACCCTTTATCCAGTATTCATTCACACACCATCTGTGTGGTGGCTTGGGGTTCCCTACCTGCCCTAATGTTCCTATTATTTCTTCGTGGGGCCACGAAGGCCATAGTCAGGCGCATTATGGGTCCTCATGAAAAACACTTTTAGAACGACAGGTACATCTTTGCATCCAATTCCAACGATTTTGACTGGGATATCGTGTACGCTATCCATGGTGCTAGCTTTCGTAGGCATTTAAACTGATTTCCCGCAACAGAATTTCTCCATTATTAGTTCGTTATCCAATACAGGTTGTGCGATAGTTATTAAATATGTCCGTAAGCCTTGTTAAAGACGCACGATTGGCAATTTGTTTAATGAAATATAGCTGTTACGGACTGCAGAACTACTGCTTTGAATATTAACCTGTCAGTATACAATGCAAATACCGTTTACCAAATAAGGAATCATAAAAGGGAGCGTAACACTAACAAATGGAACCATACTTGCCTGGATTGTTTCAACGTATAAGGGTCTGGTCAGATCAGCGCGTCCTGGCAGAATTACGAAAATCTGTGAGCAAGCTAAGTAAAGAAATACCTGCTATCGTAAGTCCCTCAGAGTTTTCATTCCGCAACTGCGCGCTGGTTAAAAGGTCTAGCGAATAGGAATCCGCTCTTTCACACAAAAGGAAGGTTCCGAAACTACAATCTCGACTTTACTACACGGAGTACTTGTACAAAGCAGGTACATGCAAATGGCCATTATAAAACAGAAACATATTTGTTATAAAAAATCTTAATTTTGACAGGACGGTGATTTTGGTTGACTACATTCACGTCAGTCAAACAGACAACTGAGTTGAACCGATAGCGATGCAAAAAGCGTAAAAAAACGTCTCCGAAATTTCACTTCCTTTGAAACGTAAATTTCCATTAAAAAATTAATTTATTCCGGTGCCCCTTTCATAAAGAAGGCGAACAAGTGAAACACATAAAGTTGGGCCATCCATGAAGTCGAATCTGCGAGGATCAAAGCTCATTTTCCTCTTCTGTGCAAAAACGTCCCCCAAGTGATCGGTTTCATCGACTTGGTGCTAAATGCTTAAATTTCTTTGGTGCAACAACCTAGTCTGCGTCTAATATACGTGCTTGATGAGGGCGTATGTTCTCGATCATCAAGGCGCCTGTTCTCCTTGACGGCCAACAGCACGATGTGTTGTTAGCACCGTTAATTACCGGATATTGACGAGCCAGTCGGCTCGACACTGGAATGGTTTGTGTCAGGTCTTGCTGGCAAGAGTTGTTGAAACTATGAGGAGAACTCAATCGTTAAACAGCGTTAGATCGCAGGCGAGAAGTGTAGCAAGTTGACTGACGGTCGATTTGCCTACCCGCATGATCTATCACGGCCTGCCAAAGCAATACGAAGAAGTGCTTTTGTTGAAACTGGCCCGTTTTTTTTATCCTAGCAATCTAATTGTCGTTGTCACACTGTTACTAATCGGATCGTGTCGGAAGTCGCTGAACAAACAATGCTACCCACAACATGGCTAGTACCAATTCAAGTCATATATATAAACGGTCCAATGATATCAGTACGCATAGGCGAGACATACTACACAATTATTAAAAGACTATCTTTATTTACAAAGAAATAGAATCGATGGTCTTTTAGGCGCTGCTCTATGAAAACTCTCGCTTAATTTAAGAATGATTAATCGTAGAGTATGATAATATTTTTGAAACAGTAGACTTTCAACATAAACAGTGGGCTATATAGAATACATACGACCGATTCCATATATATCTCATTTCAGATTTCCTCTGAAAGGTCATTTGGCTCTTAAAAATCTTCACGGCAACAGCCAACGGGGCAGAGTTGAGTTCTGTGCGAGTTTTCCACTTGTGGAATTATACTTACATTGATCTTAGCTGACATTCCTTTAAGATTAGCTATAAGTTGATTTGCGCCTTTAGCTTTTTCCGAAAGCGATTGCAACGACTGGCTCAGCTGAGTCTGCAATTGAATTGACGAAAAACCAAGAAAAAAAACAAGATGGCTTATTATTATTATTATTATTATCTATCGTAGCTTATCTAGTGTACGTTTGTCCGTCAACAACAAGGTCAGTGTTTTCAAAGACTCGGAAACAAAGCCTATACAAGACGAAATGTTGATTCCGAGTCGTTATAAGGATAGGCCGGCTCGATCAGTTTGATCAAGGAGGCGATCAATTCATTAATAGATATATAGCGTATTAAAGCTAGTCTAATTGTCATACTATTTATTCAGATATGTTTTACTGTTATATATTAGAGTATCCGAGTTTCTTTGTAAATAATGTCGCCCATACTGCTGCTAGATTTTTAGAACTGTCTACTAGAGCTACTAATACCAAAGCAAAGACGTGTATGCGAGTTAAAAATTTTTGTGATTTCTATTTAGTCATGTGCCGACTCGGCAGTCGATTGTAAAAACAACAAAGGGTAAGAGGTTAGGTAGTAAGCGGAGTCAACAAAGGCTCGACTTCCCTCTAACGTCGAGAAATGATCTAAGGCGTTTGCTTCTAGATACACAATCCATATTCAATTTATAACGAGGGAAAAGCAAATCCGTGTGAACCTTTTACTTGGGCTTGGAAAGGCTTTTTAGATTCAGCCTATTTCTTCATCCCTCCCCTATGTTTTGTTCTTCTATCTTTAGCACCGCTCTCCCGTTCTAATATAATAATATATCATCCGGTGCAGGGATTTTCTGCCACGACACAATATATACAAGGTAATTATCTTCGTAGTCATGGCAGTCTGAAACCAAAATAGTGAATGCCCATCGAGAAAAGGGGCCTTTGAACAACAGACTGTTTTTGCAGCAAAGCGAGTCTTTTCCTCATTTTTTTAACGGGAGATCGTAAACTCCAACAAGCGCTATAAACTTCTAACATCAAACTCCTAACCCTAGTTTTTTTGTCTCGTCGGCTACTTCTATATATTTCTATTTCTAACATGAACGCGCTTGATTCTACTGATATCGCAACCGTTTACAGCTTGTATCAGTATCGTATGGTATTTGTTAGCTAATAACAAAATAGTGACAGGATACTCATAATTTTGGTTGGGAAGACAACGAAAAGAAGGGGAGAGGAATAAAGCGTCGCTTATTATCCAGTAGTTAGCCTTCATGTAACGTTAAAATTCATAACGGGACGTCTTCGGAAAAGCCGCTACATAAAAATAAACGGTTTAAAGAATTACTATGTTAGGGAGATGTATGCCTATATACGATAAGTGTACGCTTAGACTAAGCAACAGGATCAAAGTGCAATCATGTACCCTTTACAATTGATAGTAAACAATTGGTTCGTCTAATAATAACGCAACACAAGCATCAACTGTGCCAATCACATGTATCCAATGTTTTTGAGTAAAGTTCTGATTTTGATATGCCCATAGGGACTAAGGGAATTGAAGACACACGATACATATATCTTTGTCTCTATCAATTCTGCAACATTTAGATACATAAATCACAATGATGATTTCATAATAGCCAACTATCGGGCACGTGCACCCCTCGTACGCACACGCAGATTCATGGAAATTCACTAGCCGACTGCTCTTGCTTTTTTACTGTCCTGGTTCTCAATTCAGGATTCCCCGTTAGGACACTTTCTACAGAGGAAGCCCTGAAGTGGTACTGCAGACAAACCGATCTAGATACGAAGCGAGTAAGCAGGCAAAATGATATATTGCAATCGTTTTCTTCAGCTTCGACTCATCCTCCTTCACCCCCTCACTTTTCAGGGGTCCGCGGATCTCCGTCTATCGACTACTATTTCCTACCATATTTCTACTTTTGTTCCATCACCAACTCGTTTTCTGTGTATATCCACCGCCACCATTGGGATTGGTGGTGAAGCGCGAAGGTGTGGGATGTGATATAAAAAGCGAAAATTGGCACAATTCACCATTCGCTTCCTAGTCATACTCGGATCGCTGGTAGAGACCAAAGACGGAGATCACTGACAATGAGTGAAATGGGTAAAAACGAGGAAACTGTAAGAAGCGATTCAGCTTCGAACTTCAGTCCCGTCGTCTTTCCTGTTTCCGTATATTCCCGCTAGCTCGTCGGATGAGAAATGGGGTCGTTTCGTTGAGGCTTTACTTTTGTGGCTTCATGTCTAAAGTGTCGACGCGGTATACCGGCTTCGATAAAGAGAAAAAAAAGTATAAAGATATGAGGAAGTTCTCGATGATCTGGGGGGTGGCCCTAAGGGTAAATCGTAGGAGTGGCAAATCCTGACTGCTCAATAAAAACCTTGCGTGAATAAAACAGCTCTCCCTCCTTAAAAGACCACCATTGCGTCTATAGCTGCAGGTGCAAAGACCTGTCGATACATAGCTACTAGTTGTTTTAGACGAATGCGGAAACTAAATACGTAAAAATGTATTCATGTCGGAGTACAATGATTTATCCAAAGCTCGTACCCAGAAACGACTACGGTGGCTGTCATTGGCTCTACAAGGCTACTATGAACTTAAACCATTTGACGAATAAACGAGTTAGGAAAAGGGAAGGTAAAAGTAGGAAAAGGTTATTTTTTAATGCCCAGACGATCTGGCCTTACGAAACGAAATTATATACGGTATAGGGGGCAACATGAATGTCCCTCATTTGTCCGTCTCTTCTTCTTTCTTTAGCCCAATTCCCTATGCTTATGCTCTGCCAAAAAAACTCCATCAGTCACACACCCACAAACACTCTCACATTCACACACACGTCCATCAAGCGTCTATCGAAAACAATGCAGCCATCCTGATTTTTTTTAGAGGCGAAGAGCTGGTCAGAAGAGGACAAATTAAAAAACAAATAGAATAACTGATTGACGCAGCAAAGCTCCGAGTAGACCCGATGTGTGCTGCAGAAGTAGCTGCTCCCGTACGCTAGCAGCAGTGAATGTAGGGAATCGGATCGTGAAAATCCATGCTATTTCCCTACGCTACAACATTCGTTAACTCACGTAGTAGTGTGCGGTAGAGTACTGAATCGCAGGCATGAGAAATTGAAACTTCAATGGTAATAGAGGCCAGCGGCACTGTAACAAAGAGAATTAGTGCCTAAAGGAAAATGGATCATAGTTCGACTCGTTATAGTTCTCTTGCTAAATTAAGTAAAAATAGATACAAACGTCTGAGCACCAGTGCTGCAGGTTTCTCTTGCAATTACACACTTCAGCCTAGAAGAACGCTTGGATATTTTTTTTTTCGATACGCATTAAAAATGTCAGCGTTTTTATATCAAAAATATAGAAAACAATGTATGGTTTATCCTTTAGCGTTCCCATCGTTGATGGCCGTTAACCCGGTGCAGATGTTAACCCTATTAATAATTTTCTCCATACTAAAATGTCATGGTTTCGGCATTGCTAACAAGCTAATTTCTTATGGAAATTCGGCCTTCAATAAAGATTCCCCTCTCCTACGAAATACCCATAGTCTTGGGACAGACTACGTAGTCTGCAGTGTCTATTTTTAAACAAATTATTTTTCCGAGATCTAGCAGTGAGTACCTGAATTGCTCCATCGAGTCCCAGTTAGAAATCCTAGCTGTGCTTTGTGAAGCGGCCTCTAACGTATGAAATTCGCGAGTTCTGAAGCAGTTTAAGACTACGCTGAGCAAGTCAATCGGTTTCTCCGGGACACATAAAAGAAAAAAAAAAAACAGTCGAATACTACTTCAATTTACTGCCATTAGCAGCGCACCCGTAGCCGTTATATTAACGTTTAGTTTATCGTTCGTGTAGAGCATTCGAATTAGTCACAGTCGTCATTACTTATTTGAGTTAGCTCTTTTTCCTCCCTAAAACATGTTTCTAGTTTGGCTTTAGCTTTCGATAGCTACAGGTCAAATTTAAACTACTTGTGGTATTGTTTAGCTGTTTTTCCCCTAACACAAAAACTCCGTTTACGTTTAAAAAAACGTAAACGTTTGGCCTTTCACAATAGACGCCAGGTTTTTGTCTTAAGTCACATCCGAACCTGCAACTTTTCGTCTACAATCGCTAAAATGTAAGACATATTTCAGTAATATTACGTCTTTCGTGAAGTATTGAACCTTTCCACAAAGCCAATGGTAGCCTTTCGAAAAAAGCACAACCACTCATATCGCATGAATAATCTAAGACTAAAAGTAGACTAAATTACTGCTACACTTTAAATGCAGCTGCGTTGTTGGAGGATGTGTATGTTTTCGGCTGATAGATCATCTTTAATCTATCACACATCGTTTAATCTAGCAAATTTTATTAGTTCTATATCGCTGGGTTCTGTCTACTACGTCGCTTTTGTCTCGTTCCCACCCGACGTCAAGCTGAAACGAATCATCAACCCCCATCCGAGTTTATTCCTCTCCATCTTAACAACGGACTGCTATGTGACCCAGTACTGTTGCCAAACGGACTACGTGGTATTTGTCGACCCAACAAAACGCGTTTGCGTTGGCTCGCCGCTTCGGTGATTGTTGCCGTTCATATCGGTTTAGGATGATCACCCATATGTTCCTGCTAGTTCTTGTAGAGGAATCATTACTCGGTCATCAAATAACCTTTTTTCATCGTTCTGCGTTGGCCCGCACTCCAGAGTTTGTCCTTATGTTCATCTCGTACGTGAGACGGGCACTGAGAATGCGAATAGGATACCGATGCATCGGTGTGGCACGGATATCATTGACAGAATGTACGTGTTTTTGGAGATGTCAAAACGAAGTGCACAAGATGGCAAGTGGGCCGTCAATGCAAAGTCTTTATTTACTAAAACTTCAACTTGAAATGATGATAGTAGTTCAGATATACCGATCACGGTGACGGAGATGACGACCCGAGTCAAAGTTTGTCGTCCAAATAGGTCAACATTGGAGGCATATGTTGTTGCCTCGGTAATATCTAAAAGCGTTATCTCCTTACAGGTTCGTAACTACGGAGAGCGTACTTCACCTGCTATCGCTGACTAGCAATGATAATT